ATTGCATTGATTCCTCTGTCAAGAATACTGAACAAGTCAGGAAATGGCTATCAACAGAAAAAACATCTACCAGACTACCCTTTCTCATTTACATAGATGATCCCAAGCTACATGGAAAAACACTATCTGAAATAGAATCAATGCTCAACACTGTCTGTATAAACAATCAAGATACTGCAATGGAGTTTGGACTGGACAAATGTGCCACTTACCATCAAAAGGGTGAAAATTGAAGAAATCAAAATGCCTTATGGAAGAGTCTGGATAATGACAACCACTAGAAATTGTTACGCATCCTTCAGGCAAACATCAATAACAATGAAATCAAGATAAAGGTTAGAAGAGTGAAGAGGATCTTAAAGTCTAATCTCAGTGAAGGAAATACCATCAAGACAATTTACATCAGTGCAATTCCAGTAATTAGTTACACAACTGGAACAGTGGACTGCACTCAAGCTGAACTACAGGTGAAACTCAAAAAATTAGAATATCATGCAAAAGTTCATTTATTTCAGTAATGCAACTTAAAAGGTAAAACTAATATATGAGATAGACTCATTACGTGCAAAGCAAGATAGTTCAAGCTGTGATTTGTCATAATAATGATGATTATGGCTTACAGCTCATGAAAACCCCAAATCCACAATCTCAGAAAATTAGAATATTACATGCAATCAATAAAACAAGTACATAGAACAATATCGGACCTCTGAAAAGTATAAGCATGCATATGTACTCAGTACTTGGTTTGGGCCCCTTTTGCAGCAATTACTGCCTCAATGCGGCGTGGCATGGAAGCTATCAGCCTGTGGCACTGCTAAGGTGTTATGGAAGACCAGGATGCTTCAATAGCGGCCTTCAGCTCTTCTGTTTGGTCTCACGTCTCTCATCTTTCTCTTGGCAATGACCCATATTTCTATGGGGTTCAGGTCAGGCGATTTTGCTGGCCAATCAAGCACAGTAATCCTACGGTCATTGAACCAGGTTTGGGTACTTTTGGCAGTGTGGGCAGGTACCAAGTCCTGCTGGAAAATGAAGTCAGCATCCCCATAAAGCTTGTCTGTGGAAGGAAGTATGAAGTGCTCCAAAATCTCCTGGTAGACGGCTGTGTTGACCCTGGACTTAATGAAGCACAGTGGATCAACACCAGCAGATGACATGGCTCCCCAAATCAATGCAGACTGTGGAAACTTCACACTGGACGTCAAGCATCTTGCAGTGTGTGCCTCTCCATTCTTCCTCCAGACTCTGGGTCCTTGGTTTCCAAATGAGAAGCAAAAGTTGCTCTCATCAGAAAAGAGGACTTTGGACCACTGAGCAACAGACCAGTTCTGTTTTTCTTTAGCCCAGGTAAGACGCCTCTGACGTTGTTTGTTGTTTAGGAGCACCTTGACAAGAGGAATACGACATTTGAAGCCCATGTCCAGGATCCGTCTGTGTGTGGTGGCTCTTGATGCACTGACTCCAGCCTCAGTCCACTCCTTGTGAAAGTCCCCAACACTTTTGAATGGCCTTTTCCTGACAATCCTCTCCAGGCTGCGGTCATCCCTGCTGCTTGTGCACCTTTTTCTTCCACACTTTTCCCTTCCACATTACTTTCTATTAATGTGCTTTGATACAGCACTTTAGGAACATCCAACTTCTTTTGCAATTACCTTTTGAGGCTTTCCCTCCTTATGGAGGGTGTCAATGATGGTTTTCTGCACAACTGTCAGGTCAGCGGTCTTTCCCATGATTGGGATTCCTACTGAACCAGACTGAGAGACCATTTAAAGGCTCAGGAACACTTTGCAGGTGTTATGGCTTAATTAGCTGATTAGAGTGGGACATTTCAGTCTAGAATATTGAACCTTTTCACAATATTCTAATTTTCTGAGCTTGTGGATTTGGGGTTTTCATGAGCTGTAAGCCATAATCATCTCAATTATGACACATCACAGCTTGAACTATCTTGCTTTGCATGTAATGAGTCTATCTCATATATTAGGTTCACCTTTTAAGTTGCATTACTGAAATAAATGAACTTTTGCATGATAATCTAATTTTTCAAATTTCACCTGTAGTAGCTCTGGGAAGGAAGACCAGAAAACAATGACAACGAATCATCCCCTTCATCCACATAGCAATTGAAAGACTATTTATCAAGGAGCATGAGTGGGCCTGGAATGTTGCAAGCACACCAGACAAAAGGGGCATTGAAAGACTATCTGAATAGTCTGAATGATAGTGAAGAAGATGCACGGAAGGTATTATATCATGACGGTAGTATACCATGATACCAGACTGGCATATGAGAAAGAACAATGAAGAACAGAAAAGATACATGGGAAAACAAACTATTACATGGTCAGTACATTTTTAAAAAATAGCAGGCAAAGCAGTAACATGACCTCGCAATGTCTAAGAGCAGGAAAATTTAAGAAAAGAGACAGAGGGATCAGTGGTGGGATTCAATTGTTTTTACTGCTGGTTTGGTGAGCGTGGCTTGGTGGGCGTGGCAGGGGAAGGATACTGTAACATCTCCAGTCAGAGGTGGTATTTGCCAGTTCTCTGAACTACTCAAAATTTCCACTACTGGTTCTCCAGAACTGGTCAGGACCTGCTGAATACCACCTCTGAGAAGGATTAATTCTGGCTTCACAAGACCAAATCTTAAAAACAGATGCATACAAAGCCAAACTGAGAAGTCAGCACCAGCAAGTGCTACTTGTGAAAAGAAACCAAAGAAATAGTCCACCACTTCGTTGTTGCAAGAGAACTGCCCAGATTGACTACAAACAACAATATGACAAAGTAGCAACAATGAGTCGTTGTAAGATCTGCAAGAAATATCATTTCCATGCAAGTAAGAAGTGGTGGGATCACAAAATAAAAAAAGGAAAAGAAAATTAAGAGGCTAAATTGGTCTGACACTTTAGAATTCAAACAGAGAGGTACCTACCATATAAGAATGTCTTTGGTAAAAGGAAGCAAAAATAATACCAACAGTAATAACCACCTTGGGTACAAGCCCAAAACAACTGGAGCACCACTTGAACACCATTGGAATTGACAAAATCACCATCAATTAATTGTAAAAGGCAGTTTACTCAGTACAACTTTTATCCTGTGATGTCAGACATCAAGATCTGCCTATCCCAGGTCCTTGGGAAAGACTCCATAGGTGGACAAAAATGCCAAATCCAGCCTAAACACCATTATGCAATGAAGTATAACAATGATTTCACACTTCGCTAAAATTTATGAGGAAGGCAAGGGAATGATTCACAAGATTAATTAATAATATTCTATCTATATCTTTGGTCGACATTTCATTTTTCCATTAAAGTGCATGAGCTAGCAATGTCAGATTGTGGGAAACCTGCATAGTACCTTAAATTACAGAAGACTACACAAATCTTGTACATCTGAATTAGAAGAGACATTCTCTGCAGCATGCATCTTTTTTATCTGCAGCATGTATCTTTTTTAAAAATATCCATCACATCTTCCGTAAGTTTTATATATAGAAATTCTAACTGTATTTTACATGATATTTAAAAATCAATTATTTTAATTGTCTTCTAATTACAGCAGTTTTTTTTAAGAATCTTCCTCTTCCAGATGAGTTTTGATTTTTATCACTGTTACTGTAGGCGAGGCTTCTGAATGAAAATAAGTAATCATGCACAGGTATTTTTGTCTACACCCAGTTTAACTTTCTCATACTGGGTTCCCTGTAGAGCTTGCCAGAATATTTCTGTACAACTTTAATTGAATCATTCACCTCTGAGATTATCTATTTAAAAAATCTCAGAAAACATTACCAACTATGTTTCTGCTTACAACGCTATAAAAATAAGAAAAGGTCAAATGCTAATTTGACATTTTCAGATCAAGTTCAATCCTTTACTTTCATTAAAAGAAAAAAATCTGGTAACATTCACTGAGATAAACTAAGTCTGAATTTAGAATTTATTAAAAAAACTAATTTGTCTTCTCTAATTTCAGACAACTGCAACACATCTTGCTTTCTTAAATTGGTCACTTTAAATTTTGGAACTTTTTTTTTTACTTTTAGTTGCCTCTTGGGACATATGTAACAAAGAACAATAGTAATAGCACTTCAACTTATATACAGTCTTTAAAGCACTCCGAGCAGTTTACAAAGTCAGCATCTCACCCCCAACAATCTGGGTTCTCATTTTACCAACCTCAGGATGGAAGGCTGAATCAATCTTGAGCCAGACAGGATCAAATTCCTGACTGTGGGCAGAATTAGTCTGCCATACTGCATTCTAACTATTGCACCACCATGGCTCTTAACAAGAATGTCAGATATTCCAGTTCTCTAGGCCATAAACCCTGATGGTTTCTATTTTAAAAATGTTCTTTAACTTTTGTTGAAGACATGTTGTAGGAGTACTGTACATTCCATAATAGATTTCAATAAATTAGAAAACAGCTCAAGTACCCCAAGCATCTGGCTCTTATTGAGTCATCAAAGTTTGCTTAAGTTGAAGGTATTGTCACTGCTATGAACCACAAGAAGATCAAATCCAATATGAGGTCAAGAAAAATTCTTGAAATCCAATGAGTCAGTACCACAGGAAGTGGTTACTAGATAGCGAACTCCTCCTTCCCTCCCCCTCCGCATTACTCTGTTTTCTCTGCCCATCTTTTAATCTCATATTACTGTTGTAAGGCATCCAGAAAGTATCCATTATATCAATCACTCCGAGACATATTCTCTCCAATTGATTTATTTAGGAATAGATCTGGTACGTCTAAGGCAATTTCCCAAAGTGAAAGTATTTTCGCATGTTACACAGAATCCACTTTCTCTCCTCCCACTTCTACACTTCATAAATCACGAGAACCAATTAACTACAACTGGAATTTCTTAGTACGACATACATAATAACCTTGAACTTTTCAACTCCTCCCCCCTTCCATTAAATGTGGCAGTTGAATTTCAAAGCTGACAACTGTATTTACGTCATTGTTTATTTTATAGTTTTATTAATTTTCTACTGTTTACACTTCATGTTTCTATTTTTGCAGTTATAAGCTGCTTACAATAGCCTCATGGTGAAATGCGCTGCAAATAAATTTAACAAATAAATAAAAAATAAAAATTACATATTAATGGATTTTTAAAAAACTAGTCTGACTTCTTATAATTACTTCCAATTAAGTATTTTATTCCTCCTTTTAAAGTAAAAATGTTCCAAAGCATTAAGTACTGATCACCCTCAATATCAAAACCCAATATGTGCCCCAACAGGACTTCTCTTAGCATACTGTCCTGCAAAGAGAACACCTTTTCTACTATACATTGGTTCAAGAACTTTCCAAGACTTTAACAGAGATAAATACAGACTGTAAAATCAGTTGTATGTCTGTGAATACTGTATGATGAAAGAACGTGGCTGTATATATGAAGATTAGAGATACAATAAAATTTTATCCCTTGACAGGAAATCAAGCCCTTTTAACTGAGTAGCTACTATTTCAATGGAATTAAGTAGAAGACTGTGTTGTAAAAGGAATACAGATATATTATTTCCTTCTGTTGTATCCTACTTTTTTTAAAAAAAAGACACACACAAACCAGTTATTGTTTTAGCCTTGTTGGTCTCAAGACAATAAAAACACAACTTAAATCATATAACAATAAATGAAGCCAGTAAAAATATTTCTGAAATTGAGTATTTAAAAATTAAATTAAAAATGGGGTATTATTATGAAAAGCTTTAATTACATTTCTAAAACCATTATTTCCAAGCCAGAAAATGCTAAAAACTATGTAGTTAAATTTTAACCTTCATTTTAATCCTTTTTAACCCATCAAAACATAAAAATGTAAACACTTCTAATGACAGAACTAAGAGTTATAAATAAGCAATATTTAACATTTAAATGAAATAAAGAGTTTTTCAATCATGGCAGCCAATTTTTCAAAGAGCCAGATGCTGGATATGCAGGTATGATCCAGAATTTTCCTGGGAGGATTATGGAAATAGGCAAAATACCACAGTGACCAACAGATGTGAGATGTTGGATTGGTTGTTTCAGGAGAGGTCCTATTGTAGATATCATACTGCTGGTACCTTCGCCTCAAATTACTATTAGCAAAGCCCTCTACAACCTAAGCATGGAATAACAAGTTCCATCCTTGTTATTTTTTGACATTTGATCAAAATAGAGCTGCTCTTGAAAACTGTTCCAGGTTGTTTACATATATCTCACAATGTAGAGTTAGGGTTAGCAAAGGTGAAATTCAGAACCCAGACATAAAATCCTTCAAAAATAATTATGATTTGCTAGTCATCATTATCCTGTAAAACCGTGAAGTAGTCCAAGTGCTGGAATTTAAGGACTTCATTGCCCCAACTGGTCCATCCAGGTTGCAAATTCCGAGCAAACAGCTCCAAGCATTCTACATCTGGCTTGGTATATTCTTTCAAAATCTCTAGAAAGTGAAAAAAAAAAAAACAGGGTGAGGATGATAAGGTGTTGGAAGTTGGAGAATAAAGACAGGGTAAATAACTTTACGGCAGGGCTATCAAACTCAATTTCATTGAGGACAGCATCAGGGTTGTGTTTGAACTCAGGGGGGTGGGGCGCATGGTCAGAGGAGGTGTGGCCAACTCAATATCACTCGTGTTGGGGCGCCTATGGTGGCCCAAGTGCTGCCAGCGAAAATGGGCTCCTGAGCTCCAGTTTTGGCTGTTAACGGCCTCCTGCAACCCTCTGCCAGCAAAAACGGAGCTCGGGAGGGCAGCCTGTGGCCCTTGCATTCTCTATTTTCAGCTGTGATGGCCTCCTGCAACCCACTGCCAGTGAAAATGGAGCTTCATTTTCGTGCCAGAGGCACTGTGGGCCGATTCTTTGCTGTTTCCAGGGCAGCCCCGTGGGCCACATCTAAGCACCTCTCAGGCCGAATCTGGCTCTTGGGCCTTGAGTTTGACACCACTGCTTTACAGAGTTTCTTATTAGCCAAATTGATTGCATATTCTCAGAAAGAAATATTTAGTTAGTTAGAAAATTCATATGACACAAATATGAAATACCCATCCTTGGAAAAATGAACAGTACTACGAAAACTTTCAATTACTCTCATTTACACACTGTATTACCGTCATAAGGATCTAAAGGTTCACTTATGATGGTTGCAAATATAACTTTTGACTGACAGAGGTAAGTATCTTTAACCATTTCTTCCCTCGAATTTTGAATTTAGGATTCAAAAACTGAAAACAATCCACGTAGGGTATAATTTGATTTCATTTACTGTAAACTTTCAGTAACTGCATTTTACATTTTAGTGATAGTCAATATCAGTATGACTTACTTCCTGTATAGCTTTCACTGGCTTCGTATGGCATTTTGAAGAAACAGGCAAATCTAACCTTAAGCCAATTAAACTGTTGTAATTTCCTATTGATGATCTCTTAAGAGTGCAATTTATTGAATATGCAGATTGTTAATTCCTTAAAATATCTTTTTTAAAAGTTGAAGGTATGAGATAAATCAGTCATGTTCTGCTGTGCTTCAATACCAACTACCGTATTTGCCGGCGTATAAGACGACCCGGCGTATAAGACGACCCCCCACCACCACCGGAAATGCCCTCCAGAAATCCCCGGGGCTGCAGCGGCAGGGCGGAGTGCCAGGGGCCATGGGAAGAGCAGGAAGGCTGCAGCCTCGGGCAGAGCGAGGCGAGCGGGATGAAGCGGAAGCGACGCAGGGGATCCGGGAAGCCAGAGGCGCCTTCGCTGCGTCCAACAAGCATCCGAAAGCCGGCAGTGGATATACCGGCGTATAAGACGACCCCCCCACTTGGAGGCATGTTTTTCGGGGCAAAAAAGTCGTCTTATACGCCGGCAAATACGGTAATCCTTTATACAGCAATTTGAACGTATAAAACCATATAATGTTCTAAGTACATCTGAACTATGTTCTCACCATAACCAGATGGCAACTATGTTTAAACTTGTATTTGGGCACCAGTTTCACAAACTTTGACCCAAAATATTTCAATAATTTTCACAGATCACAGCTACAGTAGCCAGCATGTAATTTGGGACACCAGTTCCAGGCTTTAAATCTTTACAACCTTTTAGGAGGCTGCAAAAAGTTAGGAATCACTACATTGTTTTGCTGCCATTTAAGGTCACCTTGATTTTTGCCATGTAAATCTGGTAGTTCCAAATTAATGGGACAAAGTCTTCGTTGGTAAAGCTCAATAAACATTATTTATCCTTATATTCATGTATTACTTAGGACTTTCATTTGATGCATAATTTTTCTATCTATACATCACATTTCTCCAAATTGGTATTAGACTACACCTTCCATAATCATCAGCCACAATGGCCAATGACTAGAGAACTGTAAGTGCTGGACACATTTGGAAGGGCTGTCCAACAGGTAAATAAATGGCAACCTGTTGAATTGCAGTATATAGTGAAAGTATTAAAAAAAACCTAACCCCTAGGGAGGGATATCATAGATGAGCTGCAAAAATACAGAACTAAATGGTAGAGAAGAGGATTCTGTACTATTATTATTATTATTATTATTATTATTATTATTATTATTATTATTATTATTATTATTATTATTATTTCTGTATTATTATTCCCAGAAACTCCAACCAGAAAAGACATAATAATCACACAGTATTGTTATTATCAACTTATCTACTTAAAAATCTAGGAAAAACAGGAAATGGGAACAAATCTCGTATTCAATCCTGTGCCTGAAAGTGCACTTTTCACTGAAATATTTTACATAAAAGGCTTTACTTGGTGTTAATTTTATCGTCACTCTGTCTATATATTTCTTGTCACAAAGTATTTCTATTAAATGTTGATTCTTCCATACCTTGCCTCTAGCAATCTCTGATTTTATATTAGAAATAGCATTTAAGTCTTCACTCTATGGTTGCTCTTCTGACACAAACTATGAAATGATTAATGCCTAAATTTTTCTTCTCACTGAAAATGCCACTATTGCTATTTTATCCTGTGCTGAACATGTTTTAACCAGGAAAATTAGATTATTTAATAAAATGTAACATTTATATCATATTATTTCACTAACTGAAATAGACTATTATTCTCTGAATACAGAAGAACATGCCTGTGAACTGGGATAATAGTCCTTCTAGTCCATGGGCCGTAATACTAGTCTCAGATTTGATATCCCGACTGTAGTTATCACAATTTCAGGTCCTGATCTACTAAAATGTACCTAGAACCTAGAGATTATTATTATATAGGAAGCAGTTTGGTATAATGGTTAAGGTAATGGACTAAACACCAGATCACAAATTCCAATTGCCCCTTAGGAATGAAAACCAGCCAAGTGACTTTTCGGCCTCTCATTTTCTGAATCCAACCCATTTTGAAGAGTTAGCATGGAAAAATTATGAGGCAGGATCATTATGTATATTGCTTTGAGTTGTACAAAATAAAGAGAAGATGTAAAACTAAACATTAATGTCATTTTACATATCCACTGACGTTCTTGTAATTGTGGCAGGAATATATAAAATAAATAACGAATTTCTAAAATACTAGCATAGAATAAATAAATAGGTAGCACAGAATACAGTAATGGAATAAAAATGTCAGGAGGTTTTCCATGGCTTTTATTGCTATTTTAAACACACAGGGAAACAAATTTAAGAATCTATATTTAAAATAACTTAGAGTAACTTTCATTTTTATTTTTTAGCCAAGTTCCTTTCAGAATCCATTTGTACTTGATGAGTAATTCATATAAAGTTTGCTTGCATAATGGTTTAAAGGACACTTTGATCATGGCAATATTTTGGCAGTGATCCTGTGGGAAGTGACTTTTGTACATACATAAGTATATGCAAATAATCCAGGAAAATCTCAAAATAACTGCTTCAAACTTTCAGGATGATGAATGATTCACATAGCTGTACTATGTAGCATGCAGTGATACTAAAAATGCCAATTCGTGCCAGTAAGGGTTCTGAGGTCTTATACTTTTTCACTGATATTCTTTTCTCTCATTTTATATTAAAATAAATTCTCAAGAAAAAGAAAATTACCTTGATTTTTATAGTGCATTACATATTTTTTTCCAATCCTCGTTTTTAGGTGGAAAACATGCCAATGTATATTCTTTATTTTGTATATAACAAAAGGTTTATATATTAAGGAACACAATATGATGCAAGTTTTTAACAGTTTAATGGTAAAATAAGTGTCATCTTTTTTAACCACAGCAATAAAATAGGACTTATATTGGTCTATTCTCTCTTGACCTTTATGTGTTTACTCAATGAAAGGTGGTTGTGTCAGTTTTCAAGATCTGAATTAGATAGCTTTTGATTCAGTCTATGATCATTAGACTGACTCCCAAACTTAATGTTATAATTGTGAATGGATGGGAGAATTGAGGCTTATAAACTGTAAAATAAGACAGAAATAAAATGTAGAAAATGCAGCTAGTCTGTACCTGAAATTTATGCCACACAGAATTTGCACCATGAAGCATTTGATATAATTTATTAGTTTTGAAAGTATCATAAAACAAAACAGTTTCAAAATATTTAAAACAACAATTAAGGAAAAGAAATTTCATAGATTTTTTTCCTAACCTATGAATAAAAATAAACAATCAAAATACTTGAACACAGCTATTAGGAATAGACTGCTATGCTATGTTATATTTCTTTTTCCAGGAACAATTAAAAAAACAAATACAAACTTCTGTAATGTAAATTAAATTTTATTTGCCATATTTAATGATGTGAGCATTAAACAAAGAAGTATTATTAGAAACTTCTAGTGTCATAATTTCACAGTTAAATTCAAATCACAAAACAAAATATAATTTTAATTATTTATGCAAAGTTCTCTTTTTGTCTGAACAAAAGATGACAAACAGGTTTTTATTGAAATAAAATACTGTGGTAAACTAACATTGTTAATTGCACTGGTTTCTTTTTAAAATAAAAAATTGTGTGTGGATAATTTATATGTTTTCTTTTATTTCAACTTTTTCTTTTATGTTCATGCTATAAACTTTGGGGGGAAAATCCCTCTACTGGCAATTCTAGTTAATAGTTTTTCACCACTGTAAAACATTTTATCTTCTAGTCACAAGACTTGAATATCTTCCCATACACTGAAGCCCTAAATTGGCAGTTTAGTTATCTGCAGTTTTATGTTGTTCTGCATAATCATTCACTCTAGAAATTTATTACTCTAGAAATTAGCTACATGTATGTGCAAAATGAAATATGAACTACTAATATGCAAATAAAATAAAGTATTGTTTTATCTGAAGAAGCAATTAGCTAGCAAAGAACAGTCACAAACTTTTCTATATGTATTTAAAAAAAACAACAACACACACACACGAACATAAACTACAAGTAGTCCTCACTTAGTAATCATTTGTTCAGCATCCATTTGAAATTACTGCAGTGCTGAACAAATGGCTTTACAACCTATCCCTGAAATTATAGCCATTGCAGTTCCTCCATGGTCACATGATCAAAATTAGGCTGCTTGGCACCTACATATTTATAACTGCAGGAATGCTTCAACTCCCCCACATACCTTCTCTCCCCCCCCCCCCCCCCCAATCGACAGACAGTAGACTGTAATCCGTTCCATGACTTTGGTCGCAACCTGATTTGTTTGTGACCGGAAGTGAGACTGACTTCACATGCACGTACAAAAAAAATGCCATGGAAGGGGAAATCACCATGGAAGGGGAAATAGCCATGGCTGTGTTTGATCGCCATCCGAGTATTTGTTTGTGACCAGATGCAAAAATTTTGCCAAAGTTTTGGTTGTCACCCAATTTGGCCATGGTTAGAAGCGTTCATGACCAGAGGTTCTACATTCCATAGCCAGTGCATGATAGCATACCTTTGCCATTTTTCTGCTTCTACTGCTTACCAAGCGCGCCCGGACCAGCCCTTCATCATGCAACTGCTGGCAGTCAAGGCTTTTTTTTCCAGGTTGTACCTGGTGGTTTCCTCACAAGACCTGAGGAAGATGGCCTCAAAGAGCCAGCAGTAGTGTTGCAAAGGGCCAGGCAGTCACACATTGTTAGCAGAAGGAGCAAAAAGATTGTGAAGATCAGCTGGGGTGGTGGAGCACATGGCAGGAGCCTCAGAGTGCAGAGTGGCAAGGCAACTGCAGCTGGGATTGGGTGGGCTGGCTGGGGCTTTGGGCACATGCTGGGACAGGCAGCTACGGCTTCACGCCATTCTGCACTGCTGAGCCAGGCTGGGGCTGCTGAGCGGGGCACACCAAGAAGCTCTTGAGATGCAGTGTGGAAAGTAGCCCAGAGCCCACAAGGCAGGGTGCAGCACAGCCAAAAGGACAGAATTGGGAAGGAATAGACATTTGGATGAGTTGAAGGGGAGTTACCCCATACCTTGGAAGAATCACCCTGAATTGCTTGAATTGGGGTGGGTCTTTGGTATTGACTACTGGAATTTGGTTAACACAGCAGTGGGAAGTGTGGGATTGTTGTCATTAAGCAATGTGTCATGTGTCATTGTGCATTACTTACTGGTGGACATTAGCAGTCCCAACTGCTAACTTGCCTTCCACTTCTTGCATTATGAAAATACAATTATTTTCAACCACTACAGATAAAAAAAACTGTTGATTTCAGGCACTAGAGACACAGATTCTATCATCTCTTAATTATTCACTTGACACAAAGTAATGAGGAAAATCTGAATAATTTGCCTATTGCAGCAGTAAATATTGCCTTCTGTCTTTAAACAGTGCCATACCCAAAGAATATGGTAAGCTTCTGATATAATTGAAGAAAATGAATCTGTGAAAAGCTCCAAAATAGATATGGTTATACATTATTTAATATTTATGTTAATATTTATGGCAAGAAAAGAGAGAAGGATGTTGTGATATGGTTTTATTATCATCCATTGGTTAAACAATTCCAGTATACAATTGCCTTATTCCCACAATGATTCTGTACTCATTTACCTAAAAATCCAATGTTATGCGGAAAAATAAAAGAGAGTAAGTATTCCCGTTAAGGTGATCATTACATTTATACCCTGTTTCATATAAAACCACTGATCAGTAAACTTGGTTGTACATGACTTAATCATTTTGGTGTATATTTACCATATATTTCAATAAACATCATCAGGATGACTCAATTAGTTGTCACATATAGAGTAAAAGGGGTGGAACAAAAAAAAATTCTGTCATTACTTTGTTTTACTTCCCCATATTTTGCTAGCAAGGTATCAAGGCTATATCTGCAAACAGAACAATTAGCTCAAAATCTATTCCCAGGAAATGCTCTGAATAAAATTTGCTATGCTATAATCTTTTAAAGATTAGCTTACTTTTAACAGTTGCAATGACTGTTAAGCCTAAGGTAGTAAAATTATATATTGGCATGTCCGATTAAAACTAGGCAAACTGACATTCAAAATTAAGCTCCTAATGAAAATTCACAAGCTCTCATAATTTTCTGAAAATCTCCATGTCATATTAATGATGGTCCAGAATCACCAGTGCGAATGAGTAAGAACACTATGCAATTAACCAGCCAGACAAATTGAAAATATAAAGCCTTACAAATATAAAAAAAAATATTTCTAGAACTTACCTGTAAGAGGAGGCTTATGTGAATGAAAAGTACAAGGTACACTGACAATTAATTTCTGATCAGGAATTGCAGAAAACTTTTCATCTTCTGAAAGCCTGTTTTATATATAAAAAAGGAAGACAATATAAAAAGAAAACCTTGAGTGATTTATACAGACACAGTATCTGGGAAAGATTTGTACATTCATTGGTATTTCTCTTCCTAAACAAAATAATTAGAATGATTTAAAAAGCAAAACAAAAAGCCAAAGGCCACTCTCATACCGGAAGCCATAATGAAGCTAATACATAATTGTTGAGAATATTTCTTTTTATGAAAGATAAATGGAAGCTTATGAAATTTCTTAAGTTTTTGTAAAACAAAAGTAAAACTACAGGAAGAAGACAAACAGAACACAACCAATACATATTTCAAGCATAAATATTGCCTGGCTATATAAAAATGTGTAATTCCAGGGCACAAATGCTTCATTTGGTGGCAGCAACCAATAATACCCTTTCAAGGCATATGTAAGACTTAACTGCAGCTTTACCCTAAGTAAATGAAGGAGCCATAGAAGATACCTAGCTTATAGAATGTTAACCAACTTGTTATTTTTTTGCTGCAACAGGATTTGCACTAACTTACCCACACTTAGCTGTCGATTCCCAACTCTTCAAAAGACAAAACTCTGATGGATAATAAAGAAGGTGTGATTTGTAGTTATGGATATCAGCATCTTTTCCTGTCCTCACCTAACCTACGCTAACAAGAAAACTAAATGGATCTTCAGAAGCAGGTGGCATTATCTCTTCAGAGAAAGAAGCAGTAGTCTACTAGCTCTGTTCACAACCTGGATGGATTTCAATCCCTGTAATTGGTTGATTATTATGGGAACAGAAGCCTAACACACCAAGGGGTACCCACTTGATGAACACCACTCTGTAAGTGAGAGGATTTCAAACTTTTTCAGGTCATGAAATCTGTGGGTTAAAAACAAAACAAAACCTGAACCCCTGAATCAAAAGGAAAAGTTCTTTGCAACAGAAAATTGATTGTGTTTGAGTGAACTTTTTTCTTTGTCCTTAGTCTCCCATGAACCTCCATAACCTTCCTGTGGAACCTCCCTGCAAATGCCTCTACAATTATATCCTATCCCCCCCCCCACCATTTAATAATAATTGGATATTCACTGAATGCACTTTAAAGCATTTATTGAAAAAAAAAAGTTTTGCAACATCATGGGAAAGAAGCAAATAATCAGATATCTGATTGCAACTCGCTTAAAGCAGGCATTCCTCAGTCTTGTATTAAGAAACCACACTCATCCCTTTAAACTTGTTTGCAAAACTCAACTAAGCATTGCTAACTCAATGCTACACAATAATACTGCATATAAATAATATTACAAATTCAATGTCCATACCTTAGTGGTACATTTGTATTTCCCTGGACTCTACCTAGTACAAGAATTTCATATGGCTTTTTGTGAAGAGAATCTAATGGAATCACAAATTCTCCAGACTTTGTAATCTGAAACAGAGAAATTTGAACAAATGTAGCAAGCGTAAGCAAACAGCACAAGAAATTTTATGTGTGTTTTACACGTATTTGTTTTTAATCAGAAAACAGTGGCTGTTGATATATACATATACATATATTTATACACACACACACACACACACATACACACACGTCTGACATGACTACAAATAAAAAATACAAATCAATGCATACATTTCTCCATCTTAGGATTCAAGAGCTGCCCAAATCTGGTCAAACAAAACCAATTCTAGTGTTTTGAATCACTCAGCAAGGCTAAATGCTAAAAATTACCAATTTAACATTGCATTATAAATTAAGTTTAAGCCTGAGCTAATTGTGTCAGCATTATTAAGAACAAAATAACTTAAATTTGAGGAATATTGAGTTTCACATAAGGGAAGCTATTGAATAGAAGCAAATTTGGAACATTGTGAACACTGCTACAATCACTGATTGGGACAATTTATGCTTGAAGGGCTGCAACCACAGGAAAACAGCATCCTTCTCTTTCCTTTCCATTTATAACTTTTCTAAGGAAATCAACAATATGGCGATAACAGCTCATCCAGTTTAAAAATCTTATTCCTAAACGTTGGATCAACTGCTGGAAAATCATCTATTGACAAATATGTGAATCATAGTCACTTGGCTGTCAGAAATTGAAGCAATTTCTTCCATTTGCTTTGCTCACTAGGCTATTCTATATTGTATACCAGACTAAGATTGGAAAGCAAGAAGGAGAAAGTACATGGGCTGCGGAAATTTTTAATCTCACTATCCCAATGCTCCTTCCCCTGTCTGCTAATTCTGAGCATAGCCTTTTATATTTCAGTGCCTGGAACAGTAGAGAGAACAGGCCTTTGTGAAACAGAGCTTAGATTTTGTTTTGTACCTTGGAAACAACTTCACCAAAGCAAAAATGTAAGCTAATTAGTCTCAACCAAGAATTTTGAGTGGCCTCAAAATGCATACAGCCTACAAAACTACTGCAGGACTAGTCTCTTCTCAGCTTTCCACTCGGCTTCCAGGCTAGGAATTTTCATGACTGCCCATAACTGGCAAAAAAAGGAGCTGTTTTCAGTATTCAGGTGCTCATCAAAGTCACATGTTTTGCATACTACTGAAGCGTTTATAAAGCCATTCAGCCTGGAAGAACTTTTGCCAAAACCAGAAGGTAGTGCTAGGGACAATAGCCTCCTATCTTAGTCTTAGTGGACAACCAACTGAATATGAGCCAGCAGTATGTAGCAGCAGCTAAAAAAGCTAATGCAACCCAAAGTTGCATTAACAGAAGGATACAATCAAGATCAAGTAAGGTACTAATACCACTCTATAAAGCCTTAGCAAGACCACACCCAGAGTACTGCATCCAGTTTTGGTCACCCCACTATAAAAAATGTTGAGGCTATAGAAAAAGCACAGAGAAGAGCAACCAGGATGATTAGGGGACTGGAGATTAAAACATATGAAGAACGGTTACAGGAACTGGGCATGGCTAGTCTAGTGAAGAGAAGGACCGGGGGAGACATGATAGCAGTCTTCCAATATTTGAGGGGCTGCCACAGGGAGGAAGGGGTCAGGCTATTTTCTAAAGCACCTGAAGGCCAGACAAGGAATAATGGATGGAAACTGAACAAGGAGAGATTTAACCTGGAAATAAGGAGAAACTTTCTGACAGTGAGAACAATCAACCAATGGAATAGCTTGCCCTCGGAAGTTGCGTGAGCACCATCACTTGAGACCTTCAAGAAGAGATTGGACTGCCATTTGTCAGAAATGATGTAGGGTCTCCTGTTTGGGCAGGGGTTGGACTAAATGACCTACAAGGTCCCTTCCAACTCTGATTATCTGTTATCTAGATTATCGGTCTATGGCAGGGGTGTCAAACTCACATTGTCATGGCAGCGTCACATGACATATCGGGACTTTTCCTCCTTTGCTAAACTGGGAATGGGCGTGTCCAGCACATGACACATCCGGCCTGCAGGCTGCGAGTTTGACAGCTTGGTCTATGGTGTCCTTTCCCTATGCTATATGGTATCTACACAAAACTACTGTGGAAGGGAATTTGGGATTTTTAAATGAGCATCTTACCATACTACACCAAGGAAGCAACTGATACACTTGAACATTATTTAAAATGTTCAACTATATTTATGGATGAGAAATAACAAGCTGAAATTACTTCAGACAAGATAGCAGTGCTGTTAGTTTGGAAATTGAAATTTAGCTTGTTGTGGGTAGAGGTGTATTCCCTCTGAAAGTTTAAGAACTCCTTGATCCTCAGTTATAACTGGATTTGCAATTTTTCACCTTTGTGTATTTAGGTCTAGCCCACCATCTACAGCCTGACAAGTTTGGAAATGGTTATCGACTGTACTCTCCTGAAGCTACCCTTGAAAAGTGTCCAGACATCGTGGCTGGTGTAAAATTTGGCCCTTAAGTTGTCAACCAAAGCAAAGTACGGGGAATGTATGAATCTATACATTCTGCACTGCTTGCTAATGACATACCAGTCAATGCTAGTCTACAGGGGTTTGCTATCTATAAAATATCATCTTCCTTTTAGCCCTTATCCACCTTTTAACACTGGTAGAAGAGACCCTTTTTAAGAGGCAACCACTATCAGAAACTCATCATTCTGATACATGAGAAGGGACATCTTTGATTCCAACTATATGGAATACACTCCCTCAGAAGGTACCTTTGTTTTTTGAGTTGTTATTGTTTGTTTACTTTTCACGTAGTTGTTCTTGACTAATCACCCGAGCAAAAAGATGGATTAAGGACAAGCAAACCTATTCTCTCACTCTAAAATTTCTAGTAGAAAAACTAAAAAACAGTGTAAGCTTTGCGCTGGTATTGATCAGAGATTTCTAGGCCGACAATGATCTCATTTATTTTTTAATTCTTAACTATAATAAAAACAGAAATACGGTATGTAAGCCTGATATTTAGAACTAAGGTATGTGAATTGTTGACTATCCCAACCTGTGACTTATAAATTAAGAAAAATAAATTAAAAATAAGGTAAAATGCATTTAAAATGTACCATTAAAATTAATACTGGAATTACTACAAACAAATATTTAATAGGGGAGAAAAAATCCAGCAAACTTACTTTTACCCAGAACCATTCAACAACACCATGTATAGACCAGTGAGGATAAAGTTCATTCTTTACAAATTGTAAATGCTTCTGTTTGTTGGTCACCCAAGTGACCACAAGACAATTTGGAGCTGCCAATGCTGGGACAGGAATTTCTTTGATTTGCCAGTGAGATAATAAACCATACCTAAATGTGGACAGAAAAAATTTACAGGTCACCCAAAGCAAAAAAAAAAAAAAAATGTTTGAAATTTTCTGATGCTTTTTACAAACATTGTCTAATTTAATAACTTCTAACTAGATTAAATTTGAGTCAATAGTGACATCCAGTGGTGAAAAGCTTTCCTTTCCTTTAACAGATCCTTTTGGATCTATTAAATGCAGCAATCTAATTACAATCCATTTTCACTTCTCAAAGCAGATACATATTGGAGGGGAAAAAATTCTGAAGTAAAATGAGCTTTTAAATATTTTGCTGCATTTCTGAATATTAGATTAATAGTTGGAATAACTAATTTATGTGGTATTTTGGAAGCAGCATCTTCTTCAAATATGAAATTCACTACTGAAGAATGGTTATTGGCCACCAAATTACAAAATTTTAAAGTAGGATTATGAAAATTCTAATAAGAAGCAACTATTAATGTCTGACAATCCTGATGATTATGTACTTCCTACCGTATGAGACTATAAACTTCTGAATGACAGCTACTGTAGATAAGCAACAAGACAGTTATATTCATATTCTGCTTGCAGGCTTCCCAAAAGTATACAATTAACTATTATGGATATAGAATGCTGGGGTGTGTGGATACTTAGGCTGGGCCAACAGGACTCTTTAAAAATAGCAAAAGCACACTTTTTTTTTTTAAGTGCAACATTTATCAAGTATACTTCAGAAAGAAAATTCTGTGTACGTTCAGCTTTAAAAGCAAACCAGACTCTCAGCTTTCTCAGAAAGACGCATGCAATTTGCTTATTTCGCATTTCAGATAAAGCAATTTTTCCTCCTTACAAATCAACCCTTTAAGCAGCAGTTGCCAATCGCTGGTCTGCGGCCCACTGGTGGTCCGTGAGAAAATTTTGGTGGTCCGCAGAGAAATGTCTCCCCCAGAGCATCCCCCAAAGCAATTAATCCAGGCTGTGCAAGAACACAAGGCTGCGCCGCCCACATGGCCTGCAGGAACTCTCCCCCCAATCCTTACCTGGCAAACTTGCCTGCTAAATTGCTATTTTTCCTTTTTCCGACCATCACCTGTTCTGCTGTGCCGGGAGATTTAGATTAGGTAGAAAGCAGGAAATCGTTGGATTTCTTGCTTTCTAGCTAATCTTTAGATGAGCCGAATCTTCCTTAGGACTGAAGCAGTGCAGACTGAGCTAGCCGATGGCAGAAACAAGGATCTCTAAGTGAATCTGTGATTCTGTGAGCAACTCAATCTGCCTGCCTGCTTTGCCTGATTTTGGGTAAAAGTTGCTCTCTTTTTTATAAAAAAATCCAATATTTACATACATGGTGGGTTGTGAGTTAATTTTGTGAGCTTGCTTGCTAGCAAATTTTATGTTACAGACTGAGCTAGCCAATGGCAGAAACACAGATCTCTAAATGAATCTGCGATTCTGTGATCAACTCAATCTGCCTGCCTGCTTTGCCTGGTTTTGGATAAAAGTTGCTTTTATAAAAAAATCAATATTTATATAAATATTTATAATATTTACATACAAGCCGTGCCCAGCCAGTCACATGACTACCCAGCCACACCCACAAATTAGGCCATGCCCACAGAACTGGTTAGTAGTCCCTGGGATTTAAAATTATGAGTTTGGTGGTCCCTGAGGTCCAAAAGGTTGGCGACCCCTGCTCTAAACCAGGATATCAAATTCAATTTCACTGAGGGCCACATCAGGGTTGTGTTTGATCTTAGGGGACTGGGGTGGACATTGCCAGCATGTCATTCATGTCAGGGGCACCTGTGGTGGCCAAGTGCTCTACCATGAAAACAGGCTCCTCGGCCCCATTTTTGGCCGCAACAGCTTCCTGCAGCCTCTGGCAGTAAAAACAGAGCTCAGGGGGCTGCGCATAGCTTCCCTGAGCTCCATTTTCCCTGGCAGAGAGCTGCAGGATGCTGTCGCGGCCAAAAACGTAGCCTTGGACAGCTGCACGCAGCCCTCCCAAGCCCAATTTTCTCTGACAGAGCCACTGTGGGCTGGTCCTTTGCTGTTTCCAGGGTGGCTCCGCCAATCAGATCTAATCTGGCCCGCGGGCCCTGAGTTTGTTCTAAAGTTCTGAGCTTGCTCTAAACTGACTCAGCTAGCTTTGTCTGTCCACACTTGTAGTAGATTGTAAGATTTCTGATAGATAGAAAGTGTTAGGGTTTGAGGATTTAACCCCTAGCAGAGTAGTATTGCAGCAGTAGTCAAGCCAGGAAGCCAAAGGAGAGCGGAAGGGCCCCAGAGTATACACACACTGAACACAAACACTGTTTGTAGTTTAAATAGTTTTTAATCCAGTTAGAGTTTAAGCATTGTCATTCAGTCCATTAAGTCATTCACAGTATTTCCATCCAGTAAGACTCACTAGTATAGTCCAAGTTAAGAGTCCTTGCAATATCTTTATCAGCCGATAAAGATATCTTCTCCTCCTCCGGTTTCACTCTCCAGAGAAACAAACGCTGGATATTCAGCAAACAGTAGCAAACAATAACAGTTCAGTCACAGCACTCACAGTCAGTAATCACAGTTAGTCGCAGCAGCACACAGTAACAGTAGCACACAGTTACAGCCAGCCAGAGCAGTCAGCAAGACAGTAAACTTTTCAGCTTCTAATGCTTCCTTATATTGTAACTTCAAACCGCACCCTTAATCGGCTAATTGCCTGCTGCATTGTGCTTAAAGTGATAAGCACTTAAACCATGATATCTAAGTTTTATATATTTATTCACCCAAAC